ACAGATCTGTCTTCCCGGATATGGCTCTTTCAATCCTTTTCTCAGCGCACTAGTATTAATTTCCAACAACCCTCCATACTTCACCACCTCCAACAAATTTCTCAAGATCATATCCCAAACTCCCTTCCACTCAGTTAAATCTCTATCTGGCTTCTCACCCAATAGTCGAATCAAGTCGAAATGGCCCACCACCTTCGGTTTCAAGGTCTGTAACATTTCATACTGCTGCTCAAAATAGTCCTCATATAATTTCTCCTCCGAGCCTCCTGATTTCTCAATCGCTTTGGTATAGAATGCAGCGTCGTAATCAATAGGAATTTCATTCACGTGATGTATCGAACCAATGAAGAAATCAATGAGAGGATTCGAAGCAAGATCTTTGATCAAAGGTCCATAATCCGATCGAATCCATTCTCCTTCAAAGCCTATAAGAATATTGAGTTCATTCTTATATTTTTCGCGGAGACGAGTTGCTTCAACGAGATAGGCTTCGTGTCTGGGCACGAATAGAGATATATCATCACCGGCTTCGACCTAGATTCGTTAGATTGTTGCGGGTGAAATTGAAAGGGAGTATGAATAAGTACTTCCTCAAGATACAAATCAGAATTTGAGTTTCGGGGCATGTGCTCTGTTAATGCAAAGGTTTGCATGCCCCGGGAAATGGCCGTTTGAATCACTTGTTCTAATGTATCTTTTGCGTGGCCAGGACAAAATTGCCCAGAATGGCTATGCATTGAGAACGCCATGATGAGCAGGTATGTATATTGTGTAGGTCTTGAATAAAGGAAGGATATATAGTGTTTCGATTCCGAAATCTGAAAATGGTGCCGCAAAGGTTTACCGGATGCCGACTGACAGTTTCTGTAAATGATACAAAGAAGCAGATTCAGTTACAACTCAGAAAAAGAGTGACGAGAAGGTATGGATGAAATATAAAATAGATATCTAGCCTCGATGTAATCGCCTGGGTATATAAAAAAGTTGTACCCCGAGTGGTAAGAAAGATAGATGCCAACCCAATACCATAATCTGGATTATCAACGTGGGGTGATAGATCGACCAATCATTTGCAATTCACATGGCACGCCAAATCGTAGGTAAGCTAGGGCTATTGCACGTGATTATGGGATTTGTCGAGATATGTAACATGTCACTCTTCAAATTGTTGGATTCATTTATTAAAATTCAAACCGCTCTGTATAGCAATATTGGGTGATTGGCGCAATGGTAGCGTGTGGACCTCCTATTATTAGGAAGCTTTCCAGTCTGAGGTTGAGGGTTCGAGTCCCTTGTCGCTCGTAGTTAAGGCATCTTCCCTTGAATTTTTTGTTTCAGACTTCCTCGAGGTGCGAATGTCAACTCAATCGGAGGCAAAGGTTACTTGAATTTGCAAGTATATTTTACTGTGGGCTAGATGGTAGAGCTAACAAAATCCTAGGCGCCCAAAATCTGCAAACAAGCATCGTAGGAGCGGCCGCCTTTTTGGCTCATGTTTAAGATATATACTCCGAAGGTCTTTCCATGATGTGAGAGCTTTTGGGGTGGTTGGAGTCGCTTTGGCCAGACATATCACTTTTATGGGAGTTCGTTCTCCATATACCTACCCAGGTGCCTCAGTCTGTGTCAGATATAACATTAATTGGCGGAACGAATATGATCACCAACCAGGACAGAACGAGATCCCAGCTAGAACGAGATATTCGATTACATATTCAGATGAACTGGTCATCTCGACTGATTCTTATCTCTCGAATGAAGTTTGAAGAAAGAAGTTTGGTTCACGTACAAGGTATCCCTTCACGGACTTAGAATTGTAAAATGTCCTTGAAGAAGTCCCGTCCTGCGTAGAACAAAGTTCGAATATACTACATGAAACTTGAGCATGTCAATTCTAAGTGCATCAAAGCCAATTCTTCTGAATAACATAGTTCCCAAAACTCCTCCACTTCCAAAGGTTGTCTCAACCACCGAAGAAGTCTTTTTCAAAATACATCGCTAAAGTTAAATCCAGTCCCTCGACAAATCCGGCATTATCAAGAAACTATCTTCAACTCCACTTATGGAATACGATCCTTTCCCATCCCAACTATGTCCATTCGCCTTGAATTCCATCCTTACCTTCACATGTCCACCATCCCCAACCGCAGTTGTTACCCAGCTATATGGAGCATCGCATGCCAAGTAATCCGTCGTAAGGCCAGTCAATCCAGAGCACGACGCATCATATACCGCTGGACCTTGCTCTTCTTTGCTGGCATCAGGAGGTGTATAGTTTATGGTCATAGAGTATGGCGCTTCACTAGTACAATCGAGAAAAATTCCTTTTTCACATGCCATGTTGAAATCAGTAATGAAGTACGCTGGGGTAATATCCGAGCGTGTCGTCCATTTTTCACAATCTGTACATGTGGGAATGGAAGAAACGAGATTCGAAAGACCGAAGAGCACGGCAATGTATATAAGGGAAGGCATCAGTAGAAGCAAGTGAGATATGAAGATTGGGGGAGATTTTATGCTTAATTTTGAGTTGAGGGGGCTTTGAAATGGGACGAAGGCGAACTGAGATACCCCTTTTTAAAGTGTTTTCTTCTGCTTCCAACAAGTTCTATTGTGGCTGTGAGTAGGAAGCCAGTGAATGGACCCGAGAACATGTCTTTGGACGTGGATAAACCTCTGGGGCAAGCGCTTACAGAAGATAATACTTGGGCCTCGGTAGCTCCTATCGTTGGGGACCTCAAATGGATTGGAAATACCAGTATTGCGTTTTTCTACGATCATTTTCGGATATTTGATTGGCCAGATCTACCCGGGAGTCAGCCTTGGGGCTTGCCATCCGGCGAAACTCAAATCTTCAGGTCTGAACATTGTTTTGGACCTATCATGTAATCATGATAAAAGCAATCTTAGTTTTGTGTGTAAATGGCTGTGCATTAAATAAAAGAACTCCCGTGTCGCGAAAGGCTCATCCTACTCGAGTATCTCAGTACTCTTTGTTTCATTGCTTTCGAGAGATTGTTAGTGGCAAGCATGCGGAATTATTTAGCGAGAAATGAGGGGTAAGACATAGTGATGAAGGCGAGCGAGATAAAATTGTACAGATGGAATGATAACACACTAGGTAATCACTAAGCTCCAGCTCGATGTTCTTTGATATTCACCCATTCAATCAAGACCATAATCCAATAACAAAAGCCTGACTACCCACCTTAATCAACGATCAATTGCGATAGGCGGGTTAAGAGTACCGGAATTATATTCTCAAGAGCGTCCAATTATAATTCAGGAAAAGGCATCGCAGACATCTAGGTATGCAAAAAAAAAAAGTGATGACGAGGACGGATAATGGTCAGCAGCTCTCAATTGCTCATTCAAGAGTTTCAGAGTGTACAACTCAAGCTTTTTTTAAACAGCCTTTAATAGATGAGGGCTAATACTTTTGACATTCATTCCCATCCACCACAGCTCACTCCAAACTTATTTTCCGCGGCAAAATCAAAAGTCTCGATTGATACTTGAATTTCAATCGAAAGCAATCGCTACATTCTGCGGATAACAAAATCAAGCTAACTGGATCTCAATCCAACGCAACACTGCAAATCTTTACCGGTGACAAACACAAGTGTATCAGAACTCCGCACCAGAATCGTTTATCCATAGGTCAGATCCCGAACAAATGCGGGGAATCACTCCACCTCACCACCAACATCTTCCCCATTCGTCATCAAGTTCATTTGTTGCATATCTCGCCAGGGTGGGGTACGAGATATCATTATCACAGACTACCTAGTAGTCCAGTGCCCAGCCTGTCCGGGGTGATCTTAGCACGTTGCCCAAACCTTGGAAAGCTTAAAAGAAGCTAGTTGCTAGTAACCGACCACCTAAGTCATAGATGATCTGCATCCCTGCCAACCCCGCATGCAGTCCAGGATGAGAAGGAAAATCGTATGCAGATGTTCTCTTTTGTTGCATATCTGGACAGGGATTTGTGTCGGTGCTTTTGGGAGAGAGAAACTATACGCGTGTTAAGTAAGTACTGGAAATGGAGTTTAGCTCTTCGATGAGAAATTAGGTTGGCGCTAGTGGGTGTTGGTCAGAGAGCCCTCGATCTTCTTGGAAGGTTTAATGTAAATTGAAAATTGAATTCAATTGTTGCATGTCTGTTCAAGGTTCTGGACGGACAATGCGTTTCCTGGTCTCGAAGTATGGTGTGTAGATCTTGAGAAGCTAGCAGAAAGCTATCGATTCTCTTAATAGATAGACATGCTTCGTTCGCACAGTTGTTTATAACTTTGATTGGAAATAGTCCTCGGTTTGTTGCATGTCTATACAAGGACATAAACAGATTCTCGTACATCAGAAGCCATACTACAATATTTCAAGAGTTCCCTATGATCTTCCACACCTTTCGAGGATCTCTTTTTCACTTCAGTGGTGAAATTCACATGTACGTGTTATATGTTCAATGTCCTATATTCTATGTTCTGTGCTGTGTTCTAATCTTGAGTCTCACGCGTTGGGTGCTCATCAAGTGGTGGTGATTTAGCATGGAGAGCTGTAGCATGTGGTGGTAGTAGGGGAATATTCCTTAGGTATTAGCTTTTAACTTAGGACCAATAAGCTTGCGATGACTTTTTGGGATTTGCAGATCAACATTATTGGGACATAATTAGCCAATTCATGTCTAGTCACATGGCTCATAAGAGTAAAAATACTCTGCATGATGTCTCGACTGGGATATTGAGCAAGCAGGTGACTGTGAATGCAATTAATCTTTCATAAGAAATAGCATCCTGTAGTTTGCAGAAACAATTCCCTATACTCGAGGTTATCATTTAACATCTTGCACCCTCACGAAAGATAGAAAAATCTGTCATTGAAATATCCCAGACTCCAGTTTGCAATAAATCCCCAGATCAAAACCTTGCCCCTAGCTTGCTTTTAGACTTCCCACATTCATTCTACCTGCGCGTTCTTCTCATGGCTTGCATATCCATCATTTACCAGTCAACAGCCGTGGTATCCCACTGTAAGCACATCATGTTAGTTTCGTTCAAGTACAGGCAGCGTAAAATGAAGGCATGTACTTACAGGTAATTCATTGTCGGCGATCTCGGTGCAGAGAAAGCAATGCTTATAACAGCCTTCGCCAGGTCCGTCACTGGTACGGTCCAATACAAGATTGTTGGCCAACAACGGCTCCAGTTTAGACTGAAGAAAACATGCAGCGCCGCCCACTTGAGCCAATTTTGCGCTTAAGTTTTTCCAGAATGTAACTGCCTTTTTTGATTCACGTTCAAAAGAGGTATGGTCTTTCTCAGCGTCTGCCAGTACTTTTGTTAGTTCAGGTACACCTGGCGAAAGTTGTGTCACTATGGCCGCGACCCAAAGCGCATGTTGCGACCTGATGGTCAATTCATAAAGTTGAGAGAGCTCTGATTCGATTAAACAACGGATAGTTTCATCATTTCGAGTACGATGAAACTTGAGATTTTCGTATCCTTCCAATTGGCTACAATGTGAATTAGACACTCGCGGAATAGAACTGAATTTCTAAGCTTCTGCGCGATGAATATCATAGAGTCACAGTCCTCCGCTAGCTGATCCTTTGTGCAGGCAATTGGCTCTTCAACTTGTCGTTTTGAAAATATAGGGCTATCAATAAACGCGCTGGTGAGGGTGGCCGAAATTATCGGGAGAGCGCAGTAGAAGTCTGCAATGCGAGTAAGTGTTGATAGTTCTTCAATATCCCTGATGGTATAGGGGCTTGAATACATGGCGCAATGGAGCTGTCGAAAGCCCTCAATTTCTCCTATATGCTCTGCTCGGGAGACCATTTCTTCAGTTAACAACGGAGCCTATGTCAGTATATTAGTCAAATTGTCTCCAAGCAAACAAAGAGGTTTAAGAACTTGGCAACAGTCACCAAACCCCAAGTGCCATCTTCATCAACAACTGTGTTGTAATCGTATCGGAATAGATCCGAGTCTGATATGGGTATATTCTGCTTATCAGGCGAATCGAGAAATTTGCGGAAGTAATTTGATCCTTTCTTCAAGATATGAGAGTGCACATGAAACTCTTGTTTGAAAACCATCAGACGAACATCAGTTTTATGGTCTGGAGATGTGAAGATAATAAGATTTCCGCGATCTTCTTCGGATCCCCGAAGTATCTTCTCGAAAGGACCCAGAGACATTGTGAGTTTCAGGTAAGTGGCGTATTATTTTAAATAAGAGTGGTAGACGTATTATTATATGGTTGCGGAAAAGTGTGTGATTGTGGTTGAGATGGATAGATGGTCTTTATGGCGCTCAAGAATGTAAAGTAAAGGAAACTCTCGTGTATGTTGGACGATAAGAACTAGCTTTGTTGTTAATCTTCGCTTGAAGGAGTGGTAAACTTGATCCTCAACCCTGGTGAGATGAAGGCTATTTAAGATGCTAGAAGTTGCTTATTTGACGCCAATAACCTACCGTAGTATTCACTTGGTATGTGATATCAATAGTAGGTAAATGCGTGTAAATTTTGTTAGTGAATATTCATTATCTGAAGGTTCAATAGTAATCTCGCAAGCTAGCGATGTGAAAATTAAGAGGTGCAGAGAGTTGAGAGCGGCGAACTAGATTCCTCAAATTTGATCAGTCAAGACTAGTCATGAATGAACTGAAAAGTGTATACACGCATGGGTATGTGTATGAAAACTATAGATTATAGTCTCAACAAAGTGAGTTAGAGCGTGTGGTTTGAAACTCAAATCCACGTGACGAACTACTGATAGAAACATTCGGGTAGACACTAGCCATCGCGGTTCTCAATGTGTGTAATAGTGTTTGAGCAGCATACCGTAGTCCAGACAAATTGACCAAATTCATTGGCCGTATTCGACTACGGTCATTCAAGCCATTTAGTTCTTCTTATTTTACTATATAAACCTACCCAGCAGCTTTCATGCCATCATCTTGGAATCTCAAAATGCCTTCGCTAGTCTCTTCCAAATACTTGAACCCGGCAGTTCTCTTACTCTCAACGATAAATCAACACGGAAAATCGATCATTACAATGGCACAACAAAACGGAAAAAGAAAGCACAGTGAGGATCTAACACCTGCGCAACGAGAACTTCCATCGCCCATCATTTTCCTTGCGCGTGGTGTCAAGGCTGATACACGATTCACGGTGTTCAGACAAGAATTCCATTTGCATTCTTCCGGTCTCAAACATCACTCCAATTATTTTCGCACGTTTCTTGATTCAGTGAGTTTTACAGACTTCCTTTATGATTCCTCCTGAATACCTAGTTCTAGGTACTTGTTTCATCCCAACCCAAACAATTTTCGTGTCCAACATAATTAGACACCGCGAGCAAACCCACTGACAAGATGATGAGCTTGGATTCATCATTTCATGCCAAAGTTTCCTATGATTGACAATCACTAACTCCAATATTCTAGGCTGACAAACAACCTGCACCCCCTTGTGCTCTATTTAAATACGACTATCGCTCTGTCATTGACGAAGATGGAAGCTGGGCTTTGATGCCAGTCTCAGATGTAAGTCTCCCGCAAACTCTCCTCCACAAACACTTAGTGCTAACTCTCGAACTATAGTCGCCAGAGATAACAGATCAACAGCTGACTCTTGTCAATGAACCCGAGGAAGAAATTGAAGTTCTTCGAAGACTCCTTTGTGCTATTAATTCAAAAAAATATAGAATTAAGACCGCAGATGAGCTCAAAAGACCCACGCGCTTGGCCGATTACTATTGCGCCCTACCAGTCGTCTCGGCAACCTTGACTGAAGCTTTGTTCAAGAGCAGCATGTTTGATGCCATTGGTACCTCATACTTTTCCAGAGCCTGCGAATGTCACGATGATTGCGTATCCTTGCTTGTTTTGGCCCGCAAACTTCGCCACGGAGTGCTTTTCAGAGAATGTTTGATCTATACAGTCGGGAAGTGGGATTCTCTCCCAGATCCTGAGAAGGATATTATCAAAGAAGACCAAGAGTTGTATAAATTGGTGCAAGCCAAGCTTAGTGTCTTGTATGAGCTTCTTGCCAAGACTCAAGGTGCACTGCTTTGGGCTATTTGTGAAAAAACCATTGATCTTAACAAAATTGTTGAATGCAATCACTCGAAAGGATCAATCGGCGCAACTATTTGTATGTACGAAGCTATTTCTGATGAGCCTTCATTACAAGATCTTTTCACGGGAGGAGGGGAGCTAGGTGAACTTATATTATCTCTACTCAAAAAAAATCATCATGCTTTAGGCTGTACATATGAGCATTCAGGACATGGGATCTTTGAAAACACATATCTATGTACTGAAATAGAAGATGATGAGTTTCCTTGGGACTTGGAGGAAATAGATTGGTAGGGTAGAGCATTCAGTGGGAATTTAGAACTTTTGATCGTCGACCAAAGTCAATCTGTACGGATCTTAAGCGCACATAGCATGTTGCAACTCTTGATTGGGATCAAGAAATATAGGATTTTAGAATAGTCAAATACTTCCTAAGATGTAATCATAGAATAGAGAATCTTTCCTTTAAGAATATATCTAAGATATTGCAAATGAATTGATGTGAGCGAAACTTAGTGCTGGTCACATGACCCTTTTTTGTAGCTAGTATTTATGTCTTTATTGTGTAGTTTAGAAAGGACAGTTAGTTTCCACCCACCTTCTAGTACGTCTCGTGAAACGCTATGTAGAGCCTTCCCCTCCTCTCCTCTGCCGGAGGCGCTACGTCTCAGTGACTTCTCTGTGGTATATGCGAAAGATTACTTTATGACTCTACCATCTTCTACTCTTTTACATTGACAGACTCCACTATATAGAATACAAGAATATTACTCGTTCGGTTAGAAAGAACGCCCCAATTATCAATATCTACAATGCAATCAACTCACTCTATCAACATACAATATTCTGACCAATTTTTCAAAACCTGTGAGAAAGTCACTTCATGCATGTTTCTCTAACTCGTTATATCTCCAAAAAAACCACATACATTTTGACGTAATCATATTATCTGAAAATAGTCTTTGGAATTCTCTAGAAGAATGTCTCGCTTATTGCTGAAAACCCTGTAAGAAAATTATTTAGGGATTTATATTGAAATTCTTTTTATACCTAGATATTAACTTTACTGTCACAGGGAAAGCATGACATATAATCCTCCTACACCTATCCACCTATCCACCAACCATCCACCAACCACCTCCAGAGCCCCCAGTTCCACACTATCTCCCTCCTATCTCTCATCCAGTCACGAAACATCACGTCAAAATCAACTCTTCACTACTACCCGAATCTACCCAGATACCGATTATTCTCCAACCCATCAAATTCTCTGATATGGATACCGAAGACAGATTCATCAACACGCAAATGGATGGGAAAATCAATATGTAGTTCAATAAAAGAACAAGTATGAATGTCACATCATATCTTATCTTATACCCCATATCATAAATCCAACAAACCCATCACTCAGCACACGGAAAAAATCCGACAAATGAAAAAGACCGCAGATGTAAACCTACCTAATATATCTGAGAAAAAACTTTGAAAAACCATGAGCATCCATATCGGCTTTTCTAGTATCTCTTGAAAATATGACTCTGGGCCCCTCTCCCCCTTCTGCATCTTTGCTAGATCTCTTTCCTAGAATTGGATGCTCATCTCATGCCTCCTTCTTTCTTTCTTCAGCTTCAGCGTGATTCTATCATCGAAAAACATCTCCTCGCAACTCATTATCTATCGAATCTATCTATCTTAAACTCCAAATCTCTCTCTCGTCCCCTTCCAACTCGAATTCCAATATATACATAAGTGTACACATACCTAGATAGTAATCTTACACACTGCGTATCTACTACATGTGTATCCACCTCCAAACCTCCCTTCTCTTCTTCACACACAAAATTCAAATATGAGGATTATTATAATTATTAGTATTATTATCAAGATATCACTTCTTTACTATCCAGCTATCCAGCTATCCACCCACCCAGCTCCTCAAGTTCTCAAGTTCTCACAACCTCTCCCTCCTATTAATATTAACACAACATCAATTAATCAGCTACTCAACATGCGATATAATTCCCAACTCTACGGTACTATATCCCTTACCTACATTCCCTATCTACATTCCCTCTAGCTAAATTCAAAGACCGAACTGAACAATTCTATCCGCATCATTACTACCTACCTAGTTCACTACGACCATAGTTATTAGTCAAGTCTCAAGGATCAGAAATATACATATATAGGTACCTACACCTCAAACACTCCACGGTACGAATAAATATATTACTCCAATATCTAGCTACCAAGCTAGTCTATGCACCGGATGACCGCCCAGTCCCAGATGCTCACACACACATGCATGTATATACAATGACTAAAGATAATAAAAAATGATCACTTCCCAAACACCCACGTGACGCCTTCACCCGAAAAATACCCTTCAAAAATACCCTACCCCCAGAATCTCCTGATTTATAACCGAGCCAATGAAATAGTATAATCAAATGTAGACCTATCACATCCATAACCCTGACCATAATCCGAGAATGCAGTTCAAGTGCTAAAAGACGAATATGATGATAGATGGGTATCGACGCCCGAATGATCATGTGAAAGCCGAATACTCCGAACAATGCTAGTATTTACTCCTTGAAGGATACCTCTTTGTATGTACTTCATCAGTTAAGTGAGACCCTGTATAACAATACAATGCGAAACGTAAAGATAATCCGATCGACCTGCGTAATATGCTTTTAGACACGCCCTGGTATACGTCTTCCCTGTGGTAAAGGTAATTCGACTTCTTCATCACTACTCTCATCCATTTCATCCAACATCCTGTCCGTCACTCGTCTGCTTTGAAGGTTATTTCTCATGGTAGATTTTCTATGGCTTGCTGCTTGGTATCCATTGTCGCTTCCACCACTACTAACACTTTCTGCGAACTCCACTCTGCGTTGGTTCTGGGGTCCAATTTTAACCTTCCCATTTTGAGTCATCTGCCCGAACTCTGTTCGAAGAGGGCTTTGCCTGGGGCTCTTTTTCGCCAATTGTGGAGGAGTTATATTAGGTCCAATGGTTTGTGAATTCGATGGCGAGCCCATGGATAACAACATTTCGATTGCATCTTGTTCTAAAGTCTCTCGTTTCTCTTGCTCTCTTGTTGGTCTGTGTTCAGAGGTTATGGTATGCTCAGAGCGACGATGAGCAGTCCCACTGGGAGTTTGAGGAGCAGAATTATTAAATGAGTGATGCGAATTCGAGTGGCGTGAGATGGATGGAAGTTTTGAGAATTTGGAGTCTGATCTTCTGGAAGGAGGAGTTGGTCGTATATCAGCTGGAGGAGCGAGAGACTTAGATTGTGGTGACGAAGAGCTATATAAGTTGTGTCTATATGATTGGGCCCCGTTGGCGGTAGAATGGTCACGCCAAAATGATTCATAGGTGCGAGATAATGGTTCTGTTCGTGTATACAGGTCGAAATCGGCTGTAGGTCGTGGTCCAAATACATCCCTAGATCCTTGACCCTGAATATTTGCTATAGCTGTTCTAGGAGAAGTGTGAAGGTTTCTGCGATTGTTGAGAGTTGAATTCGATGATGTTGGAGATCCAGCTTGTGATGCAATAGTTTCAACTTCATTGATTGATTTCGATTCCCATCCATTATTAACTTTAACCATTGCATAGGAAAGACGAGTTCTTAATTCGGAGGATAGCTGTCTAAATTTAGTTCAAGTACCCTATTGCTCTAGAAACTCTCTACTGACCTCTCCAAATCTACTTGCGACCGAAGATGCATTGCTGACTGTGCTTGTATTTCTTGTATGGCTTCGAACGGATGATGGGCCTTTCGGACTGGGTGAAGTTGAATTAGACGCTTTCGATTTTACATGACCATCTGCGGTTCTCTTCTGACTCGCATTCAAAGTGATGTTGATTTTTGGCGGTGTTGTATGGGTAGTACTTTCGAGGGGTAGTTGTGCGGCAGCTAATTGTGAGAGTTGTGAGAGTTGCGATAAAGGTCCTCCATCTTGATTGGTACTTTGCGAAGAGAATTCATCAGAAGCTGGTGGTGTAAATACGGCGTCCTGACCGTCTACTGTCGATTGAGAATTGTCGGATACGGGCGCGATGGCAATCGCGGGTTGTGTTGCGACGCTCTTCTCGGCGTGGTATCCTTCTTTGTCCCCTGGCGATATCAAATTCTGGAGGGTTTCTACTAATGCCGGTTCATGCGCACCGATGGTGGTGGCATTAATGTCGTTGTTTGCCATCAGAGGGGAGGTGGAATGAAACGCGGGTTTCCGTCGCGTCAAGTGGGACTCGATCTTGTTAAATTACCCTGATGTAGAATCGCAATGTCGCGACAATGACTCGTAGATTGAATGATTCTGGTGTTTGCAGAAGATAGCAATAATGCAACGATAAATGTCGTGATAATTGTCAAAGTTAAGAATATAATGGAGGAGAGAGATCAATTAATTGATTATCGATATAACTATTGATGTTTAATATTATTAGGTTGGAGGGTTCGAGGGTTGATAATGATTGTGGCGGGTGATATCGAATGCTGGTTCGGTCTGTGTGTGGATTCTGGTTATGGGTGTGTGGAGAGAAATGAGGGTTGCGGCGCGCAATCGCGAAAAAAGATGGACAGACGCCTCAATTGTCCGCGTGTGTTTCGTCTTTTTGGCTTTTTCTGTCGAGATCTCTCTTCCTTTGAGTGACAGATGCAAATGTGGTTTGATGTGATGTGATTTGATCAATTATCTTATTTCATTCAGTGGGTAGCTAAACTTTGATGATCTCATATATTCGATATAAAGATGTGATTAAGAATTGGACTCGATTTTTAATACGTATTAATTGCGATTGCCTTCTCGCAGTGGAAGTGGGAGTAGAAGGTCGGGAGAGTGGGAGTGTATGGAAGTATGGGAGTTATGGAAGTGTACTCGTGTGGATATGGATATGGATATGGATATGGATATGGATATGGATATGGATATGGATATGGATATGGATATGGATATGGATATGGATATGGATATGGATATGGATATGGATATGGATATGAATATGAATATTGTAAGAAAGGAGATCAAATGGAATCGAAGAAATGAGAAAGAAGTCGTGTCCAACAAGTCAATCTACGGAGGAATAAGGAAGAGCACGACCACGACCTAGGTACTTACTAGTTGGTTGGAGACGTGAGTCAACCCCACCTCCAACAGAAATTCGCGTGATCACGGGTTCTTGAAAGGCTTTGATTGACTGGCTAAAACTGGCCTAACTATAACACGCCACATGCGCCGGTTGAAGAAACGGCTCAGAAAAAGCAAAGAGGAAAAGAACATAAGCGTCAACCCCACTATTGCATATAGAAGTGGGGGATGTGGAATGCAATATATATACATGGTGGGGGGAGGGGAAGTTGTTCGTATTATGTATTTATTGTATGTGAATCATATTTTGCTGTTGTGTGAATAATAATTCGCTTCGTGGGTGCCAACTGGTTGGTTAGTATGTAGTAGATAGGTAGTCAAAGAACTAGTTGACTAGCTGAAGTGCTAGCAACAAAGTTCTGTTCAAGCACATCTTGATGTTGGGCAATTGCTCGAGTACGAACGGGTAAAGCATGTGCACGAGTTTCACACGATTCACAAATTTGTTATTGTGTCTGTCGTTATTGAATAGGGGCTCAATTCGCTAATTATGTAAAAAGTCCATTAAATCTCCTATGTAAAGTGGGATTCCATAACCACCATAAATTCGGTTTGTAGAAATCGACCTGATATCAATGCGACGATATTAACCTATGATGACATCCCATAACATCATTGATATGTTATATTCCTAGACCGCCATGTATGGCCAGATGAGATTAAAATCCACTATTGCTTGAGATTTGACCACAGCCAGATTGCTTACATCAAGATACATCAATTGACATTCTTGCAACAAGAAGGTATGTCGCTGATCCTGAGGCAGTTCTGTCACTGTACTTAACGTGCATCCAGTTCGTCTTGTCGTGGCTTGAGAGTCTAAGATGACAAGCAGCATCTTCCGATACACACTCCCCTCGGTGTAGCCAGCACCGATCACAAGCTCTGGATGTATTCTTTGACATCAGCATGTGAAGCTTTATTGCCTTCTCAGTAAGCCCTTGATTACATGAGCTCATTGCTAAGAGTGATCGTCGAATGAATTTGGTTAGGGTGAAGAGCCCTCGACATGAGACGACATGCCGGCTTTCACTTCTCTCCCAAAACTCCTCGCCCGGACGCGATATCCACGAGACTATTAAGGAGCTGTCTGGTCGCTCGATATTGTCCATCATCGTTATGCTCGCCACTCGATGGCTGCGTGAATTTCAACCTCCCTTCACCAAGTACAAATGAGCCACATGCAACCTTAACAATCTTCACTTTCTCATGCCCTAGATCTAGTGCCAGATGAGCTTTGACATAAGCTTTCAATGCAACCATAAAGGGAGATTTGTCTTTCGTGATTTTGTTTCCTCGTGCAAGCATACGAGGTAAATCCTCCCTAGAAATATGTATTTCAATAGTTTTGAGAGCAGCCGATCCACCAGGTATATCAAAGCCAACAGAGATCTGGACCTCTTTAATAATCTTTTGTATACTGACTTGGCGCTCTTCGGCAGTTGCATCTGAGTTGATCGAGTTGGATGTGTATTGTTCGAATGATTCCATCAAATGTTTCCCTTCCAACTTCAGAGCGGACACCCTTGTGTCGAATATCCTGCAGATGTATTGGATGAATGTTTCTCTCAACGACAACGGCATTCGTGTCAAAATTAGTGGCAAGCGTAGAAATCCAGCTTGGTCGTGAGAATTATCCATGATCGAGTCGTCCATGTCGTCTTCAGAAGTGGCGCGTAATAAAATTGCAGAGTATTTCGCTTTCTCATAATTGACTTCAACCAGTATGCCGCGATTATTTATAGATTCGGACACAGACTCATCAAGAGCTTCACCTGTGGTATCTTCAACGGCCCATTCCGATTCTACCTTGAATACCCTCCACACCACTGTTTGCAGAGCTCCTACACGAGCCAGCGTATCATCTTCAGATCCTAATCCAACCCGAACTCCTCGTAAAACATCGCCTGCTAATACATCTCGAAACCGGCGCGCATGTACTTGTAGAGTCGAATTATTAAGAGCTTGGTCGCCAATGTAGAGTGGAGAAGCACGGTGTAAGGTAAATGTGGTGTTGTAGAGGGGATACTGAGAGCCAGGTTCGGGAGCCATTGGATTGAATTCAAGACCCCGCAATATTTCGGCGCGTTATGAGATTGTTTGACTGGTCCCAATGACTTCAAAAGTATGAGTGCTTAAAACAAAATCGCAGTAACTTAATCGACAATAATATCTTCAATTAGTATTGTTCCGCAAGAAAGATTATAATTGTTACTTGCACTTGATCCCAATGTTCTACTGACCCGGAAACGCGACGCGGAGATATTTTTTGACAGGGGTATTGCGTAACAGGATCGTTAGCGCGACTCATTCAAAATCATGAATCTTCTGCACGTGAAAGAGTCTATGGACAACATCATTCGATTTGAATATCCAACCTCAGTGATAGGAAGTTTTTATGTTTATTTTTAATCAACTTGTAGATATTTCGACTTCGATTCCGTTTACTGGTAAATTTCGACATCGAATTATGCATCAGGTTACGAGAAATCTACACGCCCCACCTGGGCAGTGATAGTCGACGTTCACCTGTTATTGCCCGATTTCAATATGATTTCCTACCCTCTTATCATATCCAATCACTTTTCTATCTCAAATACTTTGCAAAGTTTTGTGCAGTACCGTGGCCCTAATTCTCTTTGGAAGTGTACAGAGTAGTTCCTGCACTATATTTGGATCCTGAAATCCGTCCGAGCAACCTTGGCAGTGCGGGCGGCATCATATTTATATATGCACTCCAGAGAGAAGTTTCGGACGTAAACCTTCAGCAAGAAATGTCTATGGAGACATCACGTTCCCCCTTGCGTTAGTGATTTTGATGAACTCGTTCAAGACATACAACTCTCCAAACTTGGAGATTGATAAGACTATCCTGCACGTTGGCCTGCAAAGATTGTCATCAGTGTATCGATATCTTCTTTATCACGTATAAGTGGTTATGATTTAACTACCTAGGTACTGGATCTCGGTGAGAGATCGAAGGATTACAGATGGCGATAGCTAGAACTGGTCAATGTCAAGCCAAATTGCTCTGAGCAGTGTCAGGTCCTTTCCGTCCAGTACTGGTAGATTATGATTTCACTTAGTGGAGATAACCCCCAGAGAACGTTGATCACGAATAAACATGGTTCAAGAGTTAGTATAAGAACAAGCAATATGTGCGAACTCCAATTTCGATCATCATCAACACCAATCATGACCCTACAAGCTCAGTCCACATGATTATGACTGCCAAACAGTAATTGATGCCAAGATCTCATGTTGCATTTCATACGGCAAAACTTGATATAAAATTCTGATCAAGTGGTAACTTGGCATCTTTTGAAGCATTGAATTTCTTGGGTGTTCATGCTTTCGAAGTCACTTCCCCACTCGCACAGATCTTCAGCCCTTTTCTTTTAAAAGTCGGCGTTCTATTCATAGTCAGGGCTGTCCCGTCAAGGTTTGAAGCCTTTGTAGTGCTAGCTTCAACTGTTGGAGAATTCTCCGCCAGCCTATTGTCGTGGGATGATTATCACGCTACGCAACAAATCCTGAGTCTGAGCGTATGTCGCACGTACGTTAGTACCTTTGGACTAACCTCCAGCATGCACAACATCTTCAGACGAGATCGGTAAAAATTCCATTTGTTCAAGGCTGGATAGATGTGAAGCAGCCGCAGAGACCTTACTGGGATAATGCTGTACTTCAATTTCATGATTCGGTCATTACAAGCTTTCCATGCAACACACTTAAAAATGGGCCTTAAAACTATAATCGGTTCGTGGTACCTGATAGTAGTGTGTGGGTACAATCGAAAGGTTTCGATGATTCAAAACTGAGATATGGAATTTTTGGGTCATTATCGTCATGTAAAAAGGAACACAGTTCCCCAGTCATCTTATGTCACAGATTCAGTGCGAATTTTGATTGGACGAATTTACTTTAGTATTGTTTCAGATCCAGACCATTGCCCATGAAAAAGCTAGCTGGTAGTGGAAAATCGAAACGACTCGCGGATTATGCCCAAAATGGACATGTCCAACGGCAAATTTGTCTGAGCATAGTTTTTTGACGTCCCATAGTTGTTTTGGAAATTTCATTCAGTCTAATTTCCAGCTGATTGATTTCAGACGCATCTGAAGTTTTCTTGGAAGTTCTTGGCTACCTGTATATACACCGTCGATGGATCATTCACAACAGAGCAGTTGTTTAGTTTTCAATCCATTAAAGTTCTAATTGTTTTCATTCTTTAATCTACATTCACAATGAAGTTCTCTTATGTCCTTGTCGCACTCTCAGCCCTCACATTCTCTACTGCCTTACCCGTTATCAGACCTGGCTCCATCAATGGCTTGGTCGTTCGAGAGGGAAACTCTATTTTGTCATTATCCGGCAATTCCACAGCCTCTACGGCATCCTCAACATCTTCCGGTAGCGCAAAGCCAACCACAGCAATCAACCTAGAAGACATAAACGAGAATGTGGCCTCATCTAAAGCAACATCCGGCAGCAAAAAGGTCACAGCAGCACAAGTCAAGTCAGCTGTCTCTGGATTCGCCAGCGATGCCAATACCGTCTCAGCAGCCTTGAACAAACTTCCCAGTATGACGGATAAATCGGATATTTCAGCACTAGCCGGAAAAGCATTTGCTGCCGAATCAGATGAGGATTCTCAAAGATCAGTCCTCTTTGCCGCAGCAGGTAGTGCAGGTTCTTCAGCAAACAGCAAAATTGTCAAGAACACTCCTGCGGTTCTCAAGGGCTTGAAAGCTATGATGACAAACCCCTCAACGGCTTCGGTCAAATCCAATGTGGCTACCATTGAAAATGCTCGGTAAGCATCATCCACGTTAATTCACATCTCGAATTATAAACTAACAATCCATAGAAACCCAAATATCCTCCCCAGCATCACACAACTCTCAAACGCAGCATTGAGCGCAATGAGTCTCTCTCAGACGGCGCAAAAGTTCCCCGCTACCGGAAACAATTAGGCTGGTCCTAGGTAGCTTTCCGTATACATCTATCCATCGAGCAGGTATCGGATTATTTAAAGTTTAATTCGCTTCTCTTGTTAGCATAGGGAGGTGCTTTAATAGGATAATTTAAGCATTTATCTTGTCTTGTGTCTGGTTTCGTTTCATTTCGTTTATTGTGTGCATATATACCCTCTGGTTCGGTTTTAGTGTGTAGATACCTAGTGTAACGGCGTTTGTTTCTTAGGCGGAAAGAGGGATACCATGGGAGTGGGAGTCTTGGGTTTGCAGAGACGAAATGAAATAAAAAGTGTTTATAACAAAGGGAGAGAGGGGTTTTGTTGTAGGATTGTAACTTCGATATATAGATTTATACTGAGGAGATATAACACTGTTCAGAATAAGTTCCGCTGAACACTTCATTGTAAATGCTGAGTGCTACCCTCCCATACGCAGCTCGTACCCATCAGTCTCATTGGAACGCGTGTGAAGTTAAATCTTAACTGAGGCCTATTCTCAGTCTGCACATCATTTAGAATCCCATATTTATACTCTCTTTGAGAATAATTACAGATTACTCTCGAAAGAACGCAGTAGAGCCAACGATAGTTTAGCATCAAAACAACTACTGATAGACTGAATGATACATTTTTGAAAGAGAAGGTAGTCCCCAACTTTCACAGACATAATCATAAGACTTGGGTTTTATGAAGTATTCGCATTAGGTGACGATAGTGGCAGTAGAGACAGAGAAAATTTGAAGCAGGAAAGGTTTCGGTGTGAAAGGGGGAGTGAAGAAAATGATTGTGAGCATAAGTATTAAGAAAGTAGCTTAATGTGCGGGAAGTACCTAAGTAAAGCCAAGGGTTGCAAGCGGAAGATGCGAGGAATGATGATGAGAATGATGGATTTGAATAGGGGCTTGAATTGAAGGAACTCGGAAGTAGTTATTTGGAAGTCTGAGGTTACATTGGAAATCTTCGTGATGTGTGTAATATTGGGGGAAAAAAGGCAGAGGAGTTTTCAAGCAGTGTGTATAACATCAACCCCTATTACCCGAGAGTAACAAGTAATAATCAAGAAGTAACCTTCAGATATTCTCCACACCCGGATTCGAAATGCCGAAATCAATCCCCGCAGTAGGTAATGAGATGTTAGATGTGGACAGTAGATATCAAACTCACCTACCTAGTTGACCGGCTCCTCCTGGTATCAACATCGAGCATCGAAACGCCGAGGAAAGCTTCGCATGTCTGACAAACGAATGCGCGAGAAAAAGACTGAATAAATTATTTGTGAGTTGTTGATGCCACATCTATATCTAAAAGAAGAAATTGAAAGTGCAAATTTTGAGGAGATGTTCAAATCTTTAAACTCTACTCATGGGTCCTCGGAATTTCGGACTAAGTTCCCGGATTATATATATATGGATTGACTAGAGGTTGGGGATTTCGGGTTGGAGTATCATGCGGATTTTGACGGGTGGTGGAGATTTGTTGTGCGATTTGATGGTATGGTGTTAGTGGAAATGGGGAAGAAGTTGAGGATGAATATGGAATTGTTCAAGAAGATGAGTCTTCGAACATGTCTGCCCTTGAAGAAGAAACTGTAGCCCTTGTCACGAAGAGAATGGAGGAGGCACGAGAAGGATAATTCAGGACGTAGAGCACCAGAAGGAAATTCAAGATTCTCTGGAATGAAATAGGTACTCCCGTAGACCCAATCACCTGGAGTTCCAAGAACCTCCTCGTATATGTAACTAACATGTTTCCAGCAGATCCGCAACCCACTGAAGAAGAAGCAAAACAGGAAGAGAAATTCAAGCCTAGACTTTCCTTTTCTGTCAATTCTCCAACGATATCTCCATGTTATAAAACATTTTGAACTCGCATAATGGAAATGATCTACGGCAACGATGAAGTACAACTGCGACAGGACTACGCTTACCAGTGCGTCAGTTGATCTTCGACAGGATGTTATTGAGAAAAAAATATGCATATTTTTACATTGGTGTGGGGTAGTATGTTTCATGATGTTTTTCAGATGTTGTTTCTGGTTTGTACCATGTGGGATCTGCATCACACAACGTGTTTTCGATGAGCTTGTTTTGTGGATATGGCTTGTTGCAGTACAATAATTTGGAACAATCGAGATAAAGATGGCGGACAAGAACTGCCGTTGATTCTCTAGTGTATGTAGCTTCTATATATGTGTCTTAATAGCTTAGACCTTAACAGGTTTCAATATGATGTTATCTATTAGCCTGACTGGAGGTCCATCAGATAAACCGAGATCCTCTCCAACTTGTGGTGCTTCTACTGGCAACATCTTGATTGCGCCGCTCAAGATTGCGCCTTTTGTTTCGTCAACCTCCTCGATTTCTTCCATCGTCTCAGGATCAGCTAACGAGATATAATCCACCTCATATCTTACTCGTTCTTCGGGCTTCAATTGATACTGTTCCATTAATATCAACTTCGACAATTCCAATGCAGGCCCCAGAAGCTCATCTCGTGATCGATGTCCAAGATTGTATCCCTGCTCCGCAACTTTAAGCATTTTTGATAATGCTGTAGCTACATTTCTTCTCCTCTTTCCCAAATAAACATTCCGTGAACTCAATGCCAAGCCATCGTGCTCTCTTTGGGTTTCTCCGATGACAACTTTGGTGTCGAAGCAGAAATCCTTAACCATCTTCTTTATAACAACAGTTTGCTGTACATCCTTCTGTCCAAAATAAACATTATCTGGCATAACAATATTGAACAGCTTCATGCAGACAGTAGCCACTCCTCTGAAAAATGTTGGCCGGCTTGCCCCCTCTAGTAGCTCTCCAACTGGTGTAATAGTGATGAAGCTTCCTTTCGCTTTAACCTCTTGACTTGGCGGTCCACTCGGGTACATCGTTTCTGTTGTAGGCGCAAATACAGCTGCGATCTTACCCATGTTCCCATTGTCGGCCAATTCCATATCAAGTCCTTTCAACATCTTGCAATCCTTTTCCCATGTCTTCGGATAGCTGTCAAGATCTTCGTGAACACCAAATTGGGTTGGATTAACGTAGACGCTCACTATGACATTTGAGTTTTCTGCTGCAGCAAGGCGAATAAGTGATAGGTGACCCTCATGAAGAGCTCCCATGGTTGGCACGAGACCAACCATTCGATGATCGATTAATTGTTTACGGCGCCATTGGCGTAAAGCAGGTACATCTCGGAAGATCTTGATAGAGGTACCCGGTATTGTTGGATTCGCGACTCGACGGAGAAGGGCAGAAGTTGTCGAGAATGCTCGTGGTGCGCCGTATACCTTGGCAGTCGAGCTGAGGAGGGGCAACATCGATTGGCGAATGGGGGACGACATCATCGTGAACAATTGGAGGTCTTGTACTCCAAACTGAGTCACAATGTTAAGTTAAATGAGGAACTGATATCCACAACCCAATTAGGGTCCATATCGGTAAGAAATATAAATTTGAGTCATCCTGTTCTGTTATGTGCAGCGTAGAATGAAGCCCGAGATAATTTTTGATATTTGCTGGAGCTGGAATAACGCTTGTCCAAGAATAGCTTAGACCTCCCGCGACTGGTGGGACTGAAGGATGGTGGTCCAAGCTCAACTTTTTTTCTGGAACGAAACTTCTGCATTTGCGCATTTTGTTTCTGGAACTTCAAAGCATTTCAGATCGAATTTTCAGCAAGCTAGCAACAATGGCCGACGATGGAATGTTAATGAATTTTGAGATTGGGGATGTACCTATAGTTGCGAAACAAGCATTTAAAGGAGGGCGTTGGAAGGATCGATTGGCTGCGAAGAAAACTGCGCAGCACCGAGTTACTAAGAGCACGAATAAACCATCGACAAGAGAAATATTCTCTGAACCACAACATGACGCCAGCGCAGAAGAGTATATTGGGCGAGGAGCTTCATCAAGAGCACCAAAGCGACAACGAGTCGATGATAATTACAGCTCTTACGGTGGAAGAAATGAAAATACTGCAGCTTACGCTTCCGGAAAGCTTCCATCTGGAAGTATAAATGTTGGAGGAGGTAGGAAGACAACTTTTCATGAAGAACCTAGAACAGCATTCGTCGCTGGCAAATTGCCTCCTGGAAGTATCAATATTGGTGGAAAGAAGGCTACCCAAATCGAGGACGAGGGTAGAGCTGCTTATGCTTCCGGAAAATTGCCTCCAGGAAGTATAAATTCTGGCGCAAAGAAGGCCATTTCAATCCAGGATGAAACGAGACCGGCTTATGTCTCCGGAAAGCTCCCACATGGTAGTATCGATGGTATGCGAAACCGCGAAATGGCTGCTGTCCACCGCGAAATTGCTGAGGGTGGGAGGAAACCAGGCCAGGTTGTCTCGTCTCTATTCACATTCAATCCAACTTCAAAGAAAACTTTCGATGAACCCGAAGAACAAGCGGAACCGGCAAAACCATCCAATGCGCCTTTGACAGAGGAGATGGCAACATTCACCAATCTAGGACTATCGAGAAGGCTTGCAGCCCATCTATCAACTAAACTCGATATGAAAGCTCCAACTGCCATTCAAAAAGCATCTGTACAGCAGTTGATATCAGATGATAGCGATGCTTTTATACAAGCAGAGACTGGATCTGGAAAAACCTTAGCATACCTACTACCTATAGTTGAGCGAATATTGGCATTGAGTGAGAATGGCGTACAGATACATCGAGATTCTGGGCTTTTTGCGATTATTCTTTCACCCACAAGAGAACTGTGCAAACAAATCGCAGCTGTGCTGGAGAAAGTTTTACGTTGTGCGCCATGGATTGTTGGCACGACCGTTAACGGAGGAGAAAGTAAGCAATCAGAAAAGGCTAGACTTCGAAAGGGTGTCAATATTCTTGTCGCAACACCGGGACGATTGGCAGATCATCTCGATAATACAGAAGTGTTGAATGTAGCTACTGTAAGATGGTTAGTGTTGGATGAAGGAGATAGATTAATGGAGCTTGGATTCGAGGAAGAGATTAAAGGCATCGTTGAGAAAATAGGCCGAAGATCAGTCGCTAAAGCAAATTCGGACATGGGGTCACTTCCGACGCGAAGAGTCACTATCCTATGTTCTGCTACGATGAAGATGAATGTTCAGCGCTTGGGAGAAATCAGTTTGAAGGATGCTGTGCACATTCAAGCAGATCCTTCCGAACAAGAGAAACAAGACAAGGAAAATGGCATTGAAGCCCAAGATAAAGCATTCTCTGCACCTACGCAATTGAAGCAGTCATATGCTGTCGTTCCTGCGAAGCTCAGACTCGTTACGCTGACGGCTCTCTTGAAACGTGCTTTTGCACGAAAAGGGTCCGTGATGAAGGCAATTGTTTTCATCTCTTGTGCTGACTCTGTTGACTTTCACTTCTCGCTCTTCTCTCGTACCTCAGAAGCTTCAGCTGCGGTTGCGGACGAGGAGAAGGTCGATCTCCCCGCATTGCCAAAGTCAGAATTGGTCAAAGAGACCATAGCGCATGGAACTACGATTTCGAATAATTCAAACCCTGTAATTTTGCACAAACTTCATGGATCTCTTGCACAAAACATCAGAACAGCAACACTCAAGGCATTTTCCGAATCTACGGATCCTTGTGTTATGATATGTACTGATGTTGCGTCTCGAGGTCTCGATCTTCCAAATGTTGACTTTGTCATCGAGTATGATCCACCTTTCAGCGCAGAAGATCATCTACATCGTGTTGGTCGAACAGCTAGAGCTGGTCGCGAGGGTCGTGCTTTAATCTTCCTTATGCCTGGCGTCGAGGAGGAATATGTTTCTATCTTAGCATCTGGATACCGTGAAGGAAAGAAAGCCCTGACACGCCACACTGCTGAAGATTTGATACAAAAGGGGTTCGGCGGTATAGGTCGCGAATGGGAAGAGAGAGCTACAAATTTCCAACTTGAAGTTGAACGATGGAGTTTAGACTCGCCAAAATATCTTGAGATGGCACGCCGTGGATACCAGAGTCATATCAGGGCTTATGCCACTCATGTCGCAAATGAGAGACATATATTCAACATGCAAGAATTGCACTTAGGTCATTTGGCCAAAGCATTCGCCTTACGAGACAAACCTGGAAGCATAAAGGTACCAGGATTAAGACCAGCGAAGATGACCAAAGCAGATAGGAGTGTCGCGGCTAGGAAGGCGAAGAGGGGCGAGAAAGAAGAAGACAAAGCACCCGAGGGAGAAAGAGTGCGGAAACAAAAGAAGATGGAGTTGGACTTGCCTACTGTGGATGGTAATGAAGCTGCCGCGAGGATGAAGAGGAAGATGAAGGAGCATATGGCTGCTGCGAGCGAGTTTAATATTGGTTGAATGACTATTCGCTCTACTTGAGTATACGCAAGAATACAAAGGCTAAACTATACATGCAAAATTAATTCAATTATATCCAGAACATTGATTTTTCACCCCATTCTTTGCCTCTCTATAAACAAGCCCAGCAGAAGATCCCTGTAATCACTTTGCCAGCCACGTGTACAAAACTTTGGCGATATCCTAATTGATAAGCCATCGCACAAAGCTCTAGTTCTCAGTTTCGGTGATGCAGCCAGCATTGATAACAAGTTACAGAGGCTTAGGACTACCAGGCAATTTGTTAAATAACGTTGATTTTATCATATGGGGACGCCACAGCCTTTATTGATGGAAGTTCCATTCCTTTGCGAGTTCTGTCGAAAATTGAATACCTATAACACTATCCAACGTGAAGGATGCGACGTGTTTGACGCAGCTACTAGTGGATGCGTTCTTTGCGACACCGTACTCAAGTCCTTGGGAGGCCTGGACCCTCAGGCACAGTTCTTTGAAATGGCTGTTCTAGTTCCGGGTACGGTAATAATGTGGCGATCATCTCATGAAGAATTTCTGTTGAGCATTTACACTACAGAAGGTTAGACTATGCTACAGGTCTCATCAGATGAAGATATCAAAGCTAAATAACTTCTGTCAAGATGACCGGCTCGCCAAGCGTGTACCCTTGAGACCACTATCGTCAGATGTTTCATCAAAAGAAAGCTTCGACATTATATCCACATGGTTACAGCAATGTCTCTCGAAGCACAAGAATTGCCAGAATCGAGACGAGATTAACCAAAAACTGCCAACCAGGGTTATAGATGTACAGCACGAAGGTCAGGATCCGTTTTTGGTAGAAACAAATCAAAGAAATGGCAACTGGGTTGCATTGAGTTATTGTTGGGGCTCTTCACCTACAGCGGTAACAACGAGGCAAAATCTTCAACAGCATTGCAATAAGATACCTATGTCCAGCCTTCCTCAAACCATGAAAGATGCTATTGTTGTTGCTCGTCGGTTAGGGTATCGATATCTTTGGATTGATTCTTTGTGTATCATACAAGATTCACCAGAAGATTGGGCCGTGGAGTCACTTAAAATGGCAGATGTTTATGGAGGCGCCTCTTTGACAATTGCAGCAGGAGCAGGCATAGATACTGCGTCCGGGATCTTTGACAGTACTAATGTTTTCCGCCAACAGCAATGTGGAAAGTTTAATTTCTCGATCGAAGGCTATGATCCCCATCATCCTGAAGAACGTGGGAGGCCGCATGTAATGAATTCCATAGATTTGGATCCATATACATTTTCAGGCTGCCTCAGCAAACGTGCTTGGACTTTACAGGAAAACTTAATGTCTCGGCGCTTGATTACTTTCGGAAAAGAGCAATTATACTGGAGATGCGTCACACAAGACTTCATAGAGGCATGTCCCACTCGAGAATTCACCCAAAGGAACCACAACCACACTGATTTTATACGCCGAAATATGAATGAAAAAAAGACGGAATTGTCTTGGTGGTATGATATCGTGAATGATTATATTCACCGCCACATAACTATGCAAAAAGATGTACTAATTGGTATCTCGGCTATTGCCAAGGTGATGGCCGAAGAGATGAGACAGTCTCCTACTGCGTACAAGGCAGGTCTTTGGGAACATGACTTCCATAAAGGTCTCCTTTGGCGAAGGCCATACCACAGCCGTCTGCCACTCATACGGCATACTGAGTACATCGCGCCATCTTGGAGTTGGGCTTCAGTCAGTGCCAGCCACATGTCATCGCCTCGTATCTATGATGATGATGATATAAGTCTTTCAGAATATGACGAAGAACATGATGATTATACACCTCCTTCAGATGCTAAAATCATTGCAATCAACATTAAGAACGAGAATGACGATCATTTCGGGATAGTGCAAGGGGGTTATGTTAAGCTCTCAGGGCGAACTCTAGAAATTTGCCGCCATGAAATCCCATCAGTCTTTCTGGATTGCCCTGAGAATGCGAAAGATGAAATAAGTAAGTTTTACGATCAAGTGCATGGATACTCCATCTTCGAGGCCAATTTGATTGCAAATGGATGCAAGGATTCCCATCCAAAGGCTCTGCTGATCAGCATTTCAACTTTTCCTAAGGGTACCATGAATGTTTTGATTCTTCAGAGTACTGAAAGTCTTGACGTATATCAACGAGTTGGGTGCCTGTCATTTGTAGCCTTCGATGGCAATCTCCAGCATCCAGATTGGACAACAAGAGAGATAACAATCATATGAATATCACGAGGCTGGGGTCTCATCGACAGCTTACCAAAGAAAAATAGCGCCATTTTCTCCTGTGCCTGATACGTAAATGAATTCCTTGGGAGGAGCAAAATTGTGGCTTTGGTTCTCGACCTCCCGAATAGCCATGAAAGCTTCGAAGCTTGATTGCGGCAATTTTGGGGCAGACACCAAGACAGAAATCCGATTATCCACCATCTGGGAAAAGCACCCGGAAACTTTCTTTAAGATAAATGTCATACCGATTTCATTTCATTTCATTTCATTTTATTGCATATATACACGTTCTTTTTGGGACTATTCCACCAATCATCGAACATTATTTTCTGATATCATAACGAGAGAAGAGGCGAGGAGGTCATATTCTTTTGTCAGTCTTTATGTAGCTCCTCAACTTCTAGTATCACCAATACACACACATTTCTTCTGTCCATCTTGTTCTTTTCGGTCAACATTCCCTTCCTTCACGATCAGTCTTTTCAGGTAAAAGTTTGGGGAAATTGTGTGGAGTAATGAGGAAATATAACAGAGTGCTTTGTAAATACACGATGAGTAGGATGAGATGGGTATCAAGAGCATTCTTCTTAACAACGAATATCTTTCTAGCAATGAATGAATTTCATGAATCAATATACCTGAAGGGCATATAAAAAGAGCAGGAGTCAAGAGACAACCCAAAATTTACACAATCCTCTGACTAGTAGGTTGACGTGAAACCTTTCTGCCCCCTTTTCTCGCTAGCTCCATCACGGCCGCTCGGGATAGATTACACAATGAAGGATTCCGCTGTGCTGTTTTGTTTGCTTGTCATTGATGTATAATGGAAAGTTTGAAGACTCTGTCATGAGAAAAGTGTTGAGGCTTGATAAATATATGGTAGAAGTGTAACATTCTACTCCATTCTTATCTATATGTATGTATTTTAACCTCAGGCTTTTAACCTATAACCGCTTCATCTGTGTTGTTTTTATCCATAATCTTAGTTATGCTCCTTTTCTTTACTTCGTACAATTCGTTGGCTCATGCTCCCTCTACCCATACTCCGTCTATTCAACAAGCCAGGACTTTAGTACAAAAACTTTAGCGAAAACATTGATACTATTGACATAGCCTTCATACTCAATTTTAGAATTGATGGACCCACCAAGCATCTTCAATTGGCAGACCAACAAACACCAAATGAATCCCATTCTCCCCAAGGCCCTTGATCATCTCAATTTTCCAAGTCTCCTCAACCTGAAAAATCTCGATCACATATACAAACTTGATCTCTCTCAACGCAAAACTTGGAACGGATTCTTTATGTCTCTTCAGCCCTAATAAGTTCCCGGTGAGAGTCACGCACTCAAGTCTATCTTGAGACCACAATTCCAGAGTGTCTAAAGAGTTTGGCAGAAATTCGTGTAAAAGGGAACCATCCGAGTAGCCCTCGAAACCTATCAACAGATCCAGCTGCATCTTCATGTGTTTTAAACAGGAGAATTTTGTAAAGGCAGTAGTATTCAATAACTCGATGGGCGTATTGTCAGAGACTAACCTGCGGATCCCCAGCAAAGATAGAGACTCCAAGCTATCGCTATGCACAGAGATGCCTCTCATAAGTGTGCGAAGAAATCCAGGAACGACGAAATAATCAACACGCCTTCCGTTGCGGAACATGTCTTTCGAATTTCCATCGTATGAGAAATGCTTTAGCTTCCAGAATATGGAAAAAAAACATTGTCCAATTCATGAAATAGACTTCGAAATTATACATGAGATCTAGAGATTCTGCCTCACATGATCCCAGGTTCGTGACCTCACGAGAGAGCGACTCTGATTGGAATGCAAAGCCATCGACCTTCAATTTCTTAAGGCTAGGTATTTTCATTAAGCTATCGAGCAATTGTGCATTCAGTCTTGTGTAAATGACTCGTCTCGGATTTGATTCGCGGAAAGTTACAGCAACGTAGTGGAGTTCTTCAAGTTTGATAAATTTGAGAGGGCTTACCACTCTGAAGATTTGCGCCCGCCAATGACGATTTGGAGCATTTGCATCTGAAGAACTTATCTTAACCTGGAGCTTTTTTATGTAGGGGCTCAGGATAGTGAGTATGGATATCATTAACTCAGGGTAAGTCAGAGCAATATTCACGTCTAATAGTCGTTTGAACGTTTTTATGAGATCTGCCACATATGTCTCTACTCCTCCAGTATTGCCATTTGTTCGGTTTTGTAACCTGAGAAGCTCGTCTGGCAGCCCATCTATTGCAGTTTTCAAGAATGGAGCATCCGCGAGCTCCATGTGTTGATCTCTACTCAAGGAAATACGAGAGATTCCGTAACCCCACCTAATCGAAATAAATTTGAAATCAGACCACCGATCTGGTCGCAATATGAGCATTCGAATAAATCTGCTCAATTTGCGAATGGATTTGAATTTGCTTTTGTTGCTGAATCGGGAGTAGAGAAGGGGTTCGCATATTATGTAAAGACGTCTGCATGTTACTGCAAGGCTATATACACTTTTATCAAGTTTGAAGGGCGAATAGCTTTCGCGAAGAATCTCAACAATCTTGGTTAGGACCTCTGGAGGGATTTTTTGAAATGCTGACATGATTGTGTTGGGAAATTCGAATGCGTTCGAAAGAAATAAGACGTATGGAGTCCAGGCGTGAAAGATTATACACCTGAGGGATTCTTATTTGATGCAGGGAAATGTAATGAAAATACCTAGAATACCCAAAAACAGCCATGTTTAGAAAATGAGAGACATGATTGTTTGATAGAAAGAGCATTGATCTATCCTGCTCTTGATTAAGTCAAGCCGACCTAGTGACCATGTGATGTGAAGCAAATCCGCTCCTTCTCCTTTTATATTGGCCTATCCTAAACTCTCGGCTCCCATCTTCCTTTCGTGCCTTTGCCTCCACTGATTTCGAGTAGATTCCATGATTGTTCTGACTCTGCTGTGGAAGAAGTGTTGACCATCCACTTCTTACATACGACAGAAGAGGTAGCTAGCTGTGGTGACCACTTCCTTTTGCGTGGAGACGAGTCAAAGTCTTACATTCTACGAAAGGTGGGAAGTACCTCGTAACTCGATCGTATAAGTCGCTCCAGACTCAGACTCAAGACACAGCTGATAGAAATGGCAGCCCAGTATGATACCCTATCTTCCTTCCCAATCCTACGAAAACTTGCCAACCTAATGGCAAGATGAATACTCAGATCTCTTAAAAACAATATGCATCATATATCTCAAACTTTCCCATCAAGATATATAACCACGCACCATTTTCGACGCCTCATAGAACTTCCCACAACAACCATCTCTCAAGTTTCCAATTGCCAATAGGAGGGAGTCCCCCCTTAGATTCTCGCTTCAACTAATTTTGACTTTTGACCTGAGAAAAACATTGATCGAATTCGGATATCCAGCATCAATCATCCCCAATGGAGGGTTGACAAGTTAAAAAAAAATTGTAATCTTAGTACAAGCAGGTATACAAAGAAGGAAATGCCGTCAATACTGCTGCAGATTGCTGCAGAGAAAGTCTTATGCACAATACAGCAAAGACTCATCATCAAGAACGAACATTCCACTCCATCAAATCTACATTTCGGGGCGAGTGAACTCGTTAGTATTTCGGAGCGTGTAATATAGCTTCAATATTACTAAATTGAGTATCTAATAAGCCTTTGGCATTAAGAGACTAAAAATAAAGCCTCTTTTTTTTTCAATTCTTTATATAATTGACTTCAGAAAAAGTGTTATATAATCATATCATATAACCACACACAAACTGGATTCCTGGGTCTTGAAAAATGAAACACATATACATACGCTGTACAAAAAATTCCGTAAAATCCGACGCATAAATTTCTTCCGCTACGCTCCGAAACAAATCTACAGGCCCGCCCCCCCCCTTCCCCACCTCCCAAGAAGAAAAACATAACCCCCCAAAGCCCCTTCCTACCACGAAATCACCACCCCCATCCCTAAGTCCCAACATCACATCACACACATCACACACATAACCTCCTCCTCAAACCCCCAATCCAACCCTAGAAAAGCAAGCAAGCAAAATCCAGAATTCTGCTTCTCCTCACGAAAAATCAATCCTCTCTCACCCCGTATCTGACTTCCTATGATCTTCTCCTCTTCCTTACCCCATTTTACAAATTGACTAATAAGCACAACGAGTTACCCAAACCAAGCACGTGCTGTACTCGAATGAAAGTATACCAAACAAACAATCGCAAATTTCATTCTCAAATCCCCACTGGAGTAGTAGTGCCGCGGTAGCGATGTTTATTTTGTAGTTAGGTATCCATCCATCTGTGCTAGTTAGTTTTCAGATTGCTCGAGGATATATCTATGATTCGCATGAGTAGATTTTGGGATACATGCGATGTTGTGAATGATTCTTGTATATATTATCATATCCCATTCTCCATACTCATATATGCGTATACTCATCGCCAAACTCCAGTACCTGGTAAAAATCCCATTTGAACACCTAAAGAAATGCAATTCATGTTCTTTCTTGTCCTTCTCTTTACCCCTGTATCTCTCTCTTCTTTACCTCCTTCTCCCCTCCCTCTTCCTCACTGCAATCTCCATCTCCATCTCCATCTCTATCTCCATCTCCGCCTCTCATCCCACCCTCCACCTAAAAATCTCCTGTCCCCCTAACCCTATTAATCGCCCCCAAAAACCCCTTCGCCCAACTAAACCTCCCTGGATCAACTCCAATAACATCCTTTGCCTCCTCTCCCCTATCATCCCTCCAAATTCCATCACTCTTCCCCACCTCCCCATACAAATGCGTATTTTGATTTCTCCTCAACCCATCAATCCACCCTTTACAAACCATCGCGCTATCAATCATGACATTAATTTCCTGACTATGAAACCAACTCTGTGTGTCTTGGTTTCCATTGCCTTGAATACCGATATGTTCATCTACGATCATGACTTTGATATGGCAATCACGAAGCTTCTTTTTAGCTACTAATGGGGTAGTTTGGTCTTTACCCACGTAGAAAAAGTAGTGGAGATGTTGTTTTCCGGCGTCAGAGAGAGTGGTGTACATTTTATGGGCGATCATTTCGTTGGTGCCGCCTTGCATCGGGAGGAGTTCACCCTAGGGTCAATGATTAGAAACAGTCCATGAAGTGGTTGAAAAATATGGGTGTATATAACTTACAGTATCATTATATCCTAGACAAATATAGCAATAAACATCAATACCCCTCTCACAAGCATTGATAATTTCCGGAACCAAAGGCTCAGCATTAAGTGTTGGACTTTGAATAAAGACATTCTTGGTAGCGTTTCTCAATGCAGAAAGCCAAACCTCATTCTGAGGATTATACACAGAACTATGATTTGGCGATCCATATGGTTCACGACAAACCATAGCAATGGGGAATGGTTCATGAACTGGATGAGGGATGTAAGGAGTCATCTCCTCCTGTGGTGCACAATCCGGTGCATTTCCTTTGAAGCCTGGGTTCTTCGTGTGATTGAGATGACGAGTAACAGCTTCAATTCTAGTTTCCCCATTCTTCGGAGATACAGCGGTTTGAACTCGCGCTACTTCGCCGGCGATATCTTCGTCGTAATGAGGGTCATCAGTGGTGTGTTCCGGGAGAATATTGCCGGACGGCGAGGGATGTACGATCTGTGATTGAGGAATCACTTGATTTCCATTACTCAAGAATTCTTGAGTCTCCATGTCGGGTCCATTAACTCCATGCTGAGCTAGAGTACCATTTTCAGGTGAGACAGGCACCTTTTTCTCGAGATCCTTAGTGTGAACAACATGCTCAGCATCTCCTGTCGTTGCAATTGCTCTTGCATTCTCGGCCATCATTTCTGTAGTTTTGAGATCTTTAACTTCGAATCCATGATGAGTATTCTCGTCGCCATTCAATTGAATCTGTCTGACTCTGTTGCTAAGGTCTTCTGCATTATCAGAATTTCCAACTGGGTGTGTGATACTCTCAGTCGTTGAAGGTCCTGTAGCTACATTGCCATTGACTGTAGTCTCGGGGTGAATATAACCAGGCTGATTTGAAGCTCGAGGCTCATATGAGTAAGCTGATTGTGCCTGCATTCTTTCCGGGTGTACCACGGCCGAGTGGCCCCTGATTGCTCCATTTTGATCAAAAATTTCATTGTGACCTTTGTTTTCAAATGACCTCAGCCCACCCTGAACCGCTGGGGAATTATGACTGGGTAATGGCGGCTCAAACTTCTTATGCCAAGAAATCAAAGCCATGTCGTAAAGCGAATCAACAATTGGTCCTTCCAGATGTGTCATCATCTCCATGTTGTCATTGTCCTGAATATTGTTGCTTTGGAGGACAGCAAATTTTCTATCCACAACCATGTATTTGCAGTGGAATGTTCCAAGCATAGGTCTGTGATAGTTCATGACCTGGAGGTCGATATTTGGGATATCTTCTGCTGCAGGAAGTGCGACAGCTTTGCCTAGATACTCTTTCTCCGGAACGAAGTAATGATTGTCGAGCAGTTGTTTTGCACTTCCTCTGTCATATTGTAGTTTGAATACTATCCTCTCACCTCTCTCACCAGCTCTTCTAGAAAGCTCCCTCATGGCATTTGTGATGTATTTCGAGGCAACTGAATTCTGCCAATAATTTGTTGCTAGAATAACTTCTTTCTCGGCTCGAACAATTAGATTTGACATGTGTCGCATGATATCCGGCACACTAAATATTTTCTCTCGTTAGAATATTCATCGGAAAAGGGGGATATCGTCCGATATCATTTCGGGAAGTTTGAGTGGTACATACACTGAAATAACACTCAATGGCATAACACCAGAACTTCCCATCAATGGCGGACTAACCATACAATTGCTCACGCTATTGTCTAGAGTACATAGCGCATCATGATACATCTGCCAATCATTAACAGTGATCTCTAATTGTCAGATAAAGACCTCTTACCTTTAAAAATAGTTCACTTGGCTGGGATGAACCCCAATTTCCACACTCCAGCGCTCTCTGCAAATCTTCTGGCGTAATTGTATCGCGATGTCTCCTAGCCTCGTTCTTACTCTCCTTCTCACCTGCCGCATGCCCTCCGTACAACTGCTTCCATGCATCACCCGGTGCCATAGTTGGATCCTTTGCGAGTAATGAGGAGACCGTCTCCTGGCTCGTACAGAGCTTGTATACTTTATCTGATATCATGGCTCCTGAATTCCTTTCTGGTTCTTTCTTTTCGGAATGTGCAGTATGTTCAATTGATCGTTTGTCCTTTGGTATCAACTCTCGCTGGCGTCTAATTGTTAAAGCACTATATGGAAATATCACAAAAAGTTGTACAAACAAAGTTACAATGGCTTCAAGATTTTGATAGAATGTCATGGTGAAGCAAAAAAAGACCAGAGAAGAGGGGGATAAATCAACAGTTATTATATTGTCAATTAAGAAAGATAATCTTTAGAGCAACGTCGGAATAAATATTTTAGTAACGTTTACTGATGGATTCGTACCTACTCTTCCTCTTTCCACGCGTTTTTACCTGTTTTTGATATCACGTCGCATTCGGATTCGATGAATTTGGATGATTGGAGGGGCGAGAGGGGCTCCAGAGGGTTATGACGCTGAACATGCCAGGATAACAATCAAGCTTTTGCCAAGTTATGTTTAAAATCTTGCAACGCATGAATTCGTCGATTTTAAGGCTGATTTGATATAAATAACTGATGAAAGGAGAGGAAGAGAGGGAAGGAAAGAAGAAGAAACCTTGATTAATCCTGGTTGATCATATCTGAAGTGGTTTTTTTCTCTCTGGATTCTTAACGGCGTTCCAAGTCTTGGCATTAAGGGTTCTGGGGAAATCCTTTCTATTTGGTGGTATGTTGTGAATCGTAGGCCACATCTGCCAATGAGAGGATTGTTGATAGATATTCCACCATACATACATCTTTGACATACATCTTGACACACATCTTGGTATGTATGAATGTGCAGATATAGATTGTTTTCTGCCAGGTAGAAGTCAAGGTAGATGGGTAAGATTCTCTACAAGCAAGTTCTTAGTGACATCCTTTTACTCAATCAATCAATTCAATTCAACAAATGACGTCGGAGGTTCGGATAACATTGCCGAGTTGTCTTTTCTCGAAAATGTACCTAGATTCTCTGACTAAGCGCATTTTTTATGTAGCACTGGCCACAAACAACACAGCCACAAATACCACAGCCACATCTCGAGTCACCATCTACCTCCAGGGCTAGGTACCTAGCATTTTCTCAAGATCCAGACCGTCTCAGATTCTTCCCTCACAATATAATTTACATCCCCATAAACATGTCGTCCAATCCACCCTCCGACCCTCCATCGCGCACCACAACGCCAAATCCACAGTCGCGCTTCACATCGCAATCGAAAACCGTTGAGGATGTGCTCAGTACGCAAACCGTGGGATTGGTCAAGCTGTCTGATTTTCGCAAGCGCAGAGCGGAGGCGGTAGAGATGAAGGAGAGGGATGCGCAGGAGATCGGAAGCGGAAGGAGTGGAGCTAGTACACCTGTGGGCGACGGGTGAGTTTATTTCGATTTCTTTTGCGCTTGGGTTCAAGGGAGAGGGAGATTGAGAAGCGCGAGATGAATCGCATGCTTCAAATATTACGAATAGGACTAATAGCATTAGTACAGTGCCTCCACATCCACCGATCATCAATCTGGTCCCCTGAAGAAAAAGAAAAAGAAAGCGGGAACACCCAAATTATCATTCGGAGTCGACGACGAAGAAGGTGGAGAAAATACAGAGTCCGAACCTTCACGATCCGCAACTCCAGATATTCCAAACAAGAAGAAGAAAATAGGCGTCAATTCTAGCGTTTCGTTTGTCCCCAAAACGCTGACTAAATCTGCATTGTTGAAAGAAGCGCAAACGCGAGAATCGTTACGGAAAGAGTTTTTGGCAATCCAAGAAGCGGTCAAGGGGACAGAGATTGCAATTCCGTTTGTGTTTTATGATGGGACAAATATACCAGGTGGAGTAGCGAGGGTGAAAAAAGGAGATTTTATTTGGGTTTTCTTGGATAGGAGTAGGAAAGTTGGTGCCGAGTTGGGGGTTGGAGAGAAGGCGAACAGTAATAGAGAGTGGGCGAGAGTCGGTGTAGATGATTTAATGTTGGTTAGAGGGGGTTTGATTATTCCGCATGTAAGTTGCCTTGGCTTTGCTTTCAATTTTTGGATACGTATTGGATACAATGCTCACTATATTGGTTTCTAGCACTACGATTTCTACTACTTCATCATAAACCATACCCTTGGACCCAATAGCCAAGTCCTCTTCCCTCATAGTTCTTCACCGCCTCCTACCACCTCGATAACCCCTCTCGACACCGATTCCCCTATCCCAGAATCCTACAACCCACTTTCACGTCCTTCCGCTTCCAGTGGTACCAAAACCCCCACAACGAAAGTCGAAGATTTAGAGGGCTTTGGCGATGACCCAACTTTTACAAAAGTAGTGGATCGCAGATGGTATGAGAGGAATAAACATATCTATCCAGCCAGCGTATGGCAAGAATTTAACCCTGAGAAGGACTATCAGACCGAAGTTAAGAGAGATGCTGGGGGAAATGCCTTCTTCTTTTCTTGAGGAAATGTTCTGTGGTCCTGGTGGTATAAATTGGAATTGCGGAGGTCTATCGAACTTGTATAATTGTTGCGAGACCTGGAGCGCTTTGGATGATTAAATCGAGGGATCGATGGATGGATAGACTCGGAAGCCTTAAAACAGGAAGGAATATGAAACCTGGATAGAAACGAAGAATTAGCTTTCGAAATAACATAATAACACCAGCGCAAGTTCTTACCCTATTTGTCGAAAGTTTCCTGTGATTTCCCCCTCTATTTCGCATCCGCAATGGGTTCCCCTTTTCGATTTCTTCATTCCCCTATCCCAATACCAAAATTCCACTTTCCACTTTCCCCAACCCCTCAACCCCAAACCCACCACAAACCCCCCACCACACCCAAAACCGGTATCCACCCAGGCCACAACAGCAAAAGCATGAGATTAAACCCGCCCCCCAACATAAACAATGCGAATTCAAACGCTAAACGACGAGCTAAAAGATCAATGTATTTGTAGATCGAGAGGAGGATGGTGAAATTAGTAGAGGTATTGGAAGTACCGTTTGTGGAAGAGGGATTGCTGGTGGAGGAAGAGGAGGAGGGATATCGGTACGAAAGTGAGAGGGTTTTGTAGAGGGGACGGAAGGTGGGACGGAGGGCTGGAGATGAGGAGGATGGAGATGAAGATGTTGATTTAGATTTCGATGTAGATTTCGAAGCTGAGGAAGAGGGCGCAAGAGAGGGCGTAAAAGAAAGAGAAGGAGATTTGCGGTGAGCCTCTCCACTCAAGGGAGTTGGTTTTGTGAGGAGTTGGAAGTTGGACATTTTGCCTGTGAAGATTTCTCTCTCTTCCTCTATTTCGTAGCTCTATATGTATATATGTATCTTTGGATAGGTATATATGTACTCGTACAATGGAGAAACCTGTAGACCGCAGAAGAAAACTTCAACAATGGGATTTGAGGAATTCGATGGTCAGTTGGTATCCTATTTAAACAAAAAAAAAAGCACAGATCTTTTTCATGTGATGATCCGGGGGGTAGCGGTGGGACTGTCAGGGGTTTCGTTTGGAAGAAGGAGGAAGAATTATGACGTCATGGGAATTAGGGTGGTTTCAGTTCTTTTGGTTTCGATGGATTGGGAGAGTTTGTTGATTTAGAGTTGGATTTGGGGAAATGATGGATGGAGAATAGATCTAAATCTAGATCTTATGATCGTGAAAAGAGTGTAGATTCATCAAAGTTTTTTGAAGAAAATAAAGATTTGAATCGAAGCTGGGATACAATAATGTGGAATGAAGCCGTAAAATTACGTTATCCCATGAATAAAGATAGATAAATAAGGCCTATGAATTATCAAGGGTAGAGAAAGATTTGGAAGATCTTACATCGCAGAACGCGTCAGCCCCTAATTAAATATATAGTTGATTTTTTCCCGCGTGTAAAATTGGTTTGCTGTAGGTTTTTTGCAAGCGATGTTTCGATAGGAGAGAGAAGTGACATGCATAGAGGTGCATGCATATGCACTCGATATATTTATCCCGACGCCGTGCCCCTTGCAATTCTCACACCTAAGTGTATCGCGACGGCTTGACTCTTTCCTTCATAAATGGGGAAAGGTCGTACAAAAGTCTAGCGCGAAGCAGAGAGGTATAATGTCTCGGTCTCGGGAGTAGTTTAGAACTGGAAAGCGTTCCAAGTATTAAGGAGGAATGTTAAGGTCAAGTCAAAAATGAGCTCTCTTTCCGTGGAACAATGAGCAATCTGTGCAATACTGTACGATGGTACAGTAAGAAAAACGTGTCTAAGACTCCCTCCCTCCAACCTTGTACAAGGGAAGTGTACTTGAGACTCGTCGCATTTTCGACTAGTCCGTAGCTTACAAAAGAAGAAGAGAAGTAGTAGAAAAGTAGGAAGATCGTGGAGAAATTATAGGGCAGTATTTGTTAGTGAGTTGGTTGGTGTGACCTTATTCGAGGCCATATTTCGTGCGTGATACTGACATGGAAATGGCCAGGATGGAGGTCATGATTAACATAAGCGAATAAAAGGAGAGGACTAAGAACATGTGGGGGGATCGATTCGTGGGGGATATTTTCGGGTAAGAGTGTTGACCATACAACGAGGTACGCATTCGTCAATACAAGTGTTGGACTTAAGAAAGGGTATCATGTGAAATCGATATGTGAAGCGCAAAGATAAGCATGATGTAGACCTTGTGAAACAGATTATATTTTGATATCAAATGGGTGCGGCCCGGTAAGAGTCGTTGTGATAGGCGAAGATGCGGTATAGCAAAGCTATTATCAAAGTCCAGTATCCTAGTACAAAACGGCTGCTTAGAAGTGTAAGGATGTAGAATGCACGCCTCAAAAATGGCCTAATATGCACCAGAACATGCTTACTCTCGGGATTGATAGATAGTTATGGTGTGACCTCTAGTCCTGTCTTGGAGCCACAAAGCCTTGATTCTGAGTATCGGCCAAATGTTCGTATCATGAATCCCCTCCTTGATTAAAATTCATACTATACCCACCCGTCTTCTCATCTTTGACCATCTGAAAATTATCGGTGGATAATCCAAATGGCTTCAGTATGCCATTTCCGAACTATAGTATCACAACCCCAATCGTAAGCTCTTATGAACAAAAGAAATGAGACTTACAAGAATCAATCAAACTAACCTGCTTTAATTTCCCCATCATCTCGCCCATTTCTCTGTCTTGAGCTGCTTTACTTTTGGGTGGCAGAACGCGAAGTTGTGTTTCAACTGTTTTGCGGTCTATGGCGGACAGGTTGGTAAAGGTTGAAAGGAGTTTGTAATCTAGATTGCGGGGTGTAATATGTTAGATCGAGATTCCGAGCACTAGCATGAGACACGACGTTGCCAATGAAGGAAAGAGATAAACAACTGTACCTTCCACGGCGCCAGCTAAAGTAGACCATCCGTCCTGTTCACTCCTAGCCCTCGCCCTTCTCATCAAAGCTTTTGCCCTTATTCTCTCAATGTCCTTTGCTCGACTTTCTTTCGCATCATCAATATTCTTTCCTCTGGTATCCTCCGCTTTTGCAGCTCCCTCGCTGATGATTTCCTCATCTGCCTCTTCCTCTTCTTTCACCTCCTCTTTTCCTGCTTCTTCATCCTCATCCTTTTTCTTATCCGTCGCCTCGTCTTTCTGCAACTTTTCGAGTCCATCTAAAGCTTCTGAACTTGCTTTGGCAGCTTCCTTCCACGCCTCTAATTTCAAATGACAAGCCGCCACATTACTCTTCAATACCGCTCTCTCATATTCTAAATATTTCGGACACGTCGACAATGCGCTCTCATATGTATCGATAGCTTCTTTGTATGATTTCTGCGAAAATAGAGTATTGGCAGCAGCTTTTAGTGTATTAGATTCGGCGAGGAGTGACTATCATTTACGTCATTAGCAATAAGTAGATAGAATGCGGTTGCGCATCGCAAAAGGGTGTGGAAATACGCACAGCTTCTTCTTCGGGAGAGAATCTTAGGATTTCTTCAGTCTCTGAAGGTTCGGCATCAGCGTCGCGAGGTTTGCGCTGGAACTTTTCGGTACGTGTCGTCATGATGAATGAATGATTTCGGGGTGTATTCTGTAAGGTCTGCTGGCGTGAAGCATGTACGAACGGAAATGATACCGCATCGGCCGCACTGACCGCGTGTGATATTTACCCCGCCAACATGTTAGTCCCCACACTTCACTCACGCCAGCTTTAGACTCTATTGACATCAGAGCTGTAGTACAATACTGCAAATATGGCACCTCGAACAGAGTAGGTCTCTCCACCGGAATTTTATTTCCCACTCAATTGTATCCCTCTTCTGCAAAACTCTGGCTAACATCATGCCAGCTTCCCCCCAATCCGAGCATGTCTCTTCGACATGGACGGACTCCTTCTCGATTCCGAAGACAAGTACTCTATTGTCACCAACACCCTGCTCGAAAAATATAACAGGCCACCACTTCCCTGGTCCATAAAAGCACAATTACAAGGTCGACCTGCAGCTTCCGCCAGCGAAATTTTCTTTGGCTGGGCCAACCTCCCAATTTCCCGTGAGCAATACATCGAAGAACAAGAATCCCTCAAGCGAGAACTGTTTAAAACCTGTATGCCATTACCCGGTGTAACGAAACTCTTAGAAGAGTTAAAGAACGCGAGATCGGCAGCAAAGGAAGGAGAAAGGGAAAGAAAGCTACACATTGCCCTAGCGACGAGTAGTCATAAGGAGATGTACGATGCCAAAACTATGAATCATGTAACACTTTTCGAAGTCTTTCCTCCACATCGAAAAGTTCTTGGTGATGATCCACGAATTGGACCTGGACGTGGCAAGCCTGCTCCAGATATTTATCGACTAGCATTGGACACTATTAACCAGAGTTTAGAAGAAGGAGAGGAGCCCGTGAAAGCGGAAGAATGTCTAGTATTTGAGGACTCGGTGCCAGGTGTAGAAAGTGGGAGGAGAGCAGGAATGAGAGTATTGTGGTGTCCGCATCCGGAATTAAAGAATGAGTTTGTAGGGAGAGAAGGAGAAGTTTTGGCAGGATCGACTGGAGAAGGAGGAAACTTGGAGGAAGATGGTGTTGTTGGTACGGTGGGAGATGGATGGGGTGATTATTTGGAGACCTTAGAGAACTTCCCCTATGAAAGATATGGGATCTTGATAAACTAGAAGAGAGATATACTTAGACTTGGATATAGATGCTTCGCGAGAGAATGTACAAAGTCGATTGACTTTTGATAAAAGAGTATAGAGTTAAGGTACCTTGCCAGTAGCCCTTCATAATCTACTACAATGAAAACTTCTCAAGCATGGAACTACCACGTGTAAAATTTGTGCACAGAAAAAGAAACGGGGATTCGTCGTGTAGTTTCTCCTGCCTGAATCGAATCCCGTTCATCCTAAGTAAATGGTGCGAGAGCAGTACTGCAGTATTCATTAGGACCCAGGGAATATCGGTTCATCTAAACGAGTACTATGAAGTGAAGAGAGATAATGAATAGATCGGAGCTCGTCATCATTCATTCAACTCGGTAAGCTTGACTTCACCACATCTATGCGATCCTTTGGCGAATCATCGTGAATACACTCAAGTCAATAAACGCCATTCAATTTCTTAGAGTCACTTTCATCAATTCATATATCAAGATTTCAAGTTTGCACATCAATTTGGAGAGAATGCATAGTCTCATTGAAGATTGAAGCCCTCAAAGGGTCGCAGACAAAAGAAAGTAAAGCTAGAATACAGGAAAGTCGTCCATTGCAAGCAATTGAAACAACGATCTAGAGAAAGAAAATTAGATACAGAGAAAGGGCACGAACGCAATTTCTCATGAATGAAAAACCATGATAACTAAGAAGAAAATTGAAAAACCCGCTGAAGAACCGTAAAGAACGCTTTCAAGGGTATCTTTTCCTAACTCCATCGCTATGCCTTATATCCTAGAAATACCTGAGATAAGACCGCCAACACCTTGCAATGTAATGCCCGTGATTGTAGAACCATGCCAGTACCAGAAAAAAGTGTTTTAAATGCCGTGAATGCTGTGCGAATGCGAATTGCTGTGAAAATGCCCTGGGTATCGTTTTCCGAAGACTCCGCTGTATGCGTGATGCTGAATGGATCTATGCTGCGCAGTGTATCCTTTCGACTTGCACATGAAAATATGAAAGAAAAGCTTTTGAAGAGGCGCCAATGAATTGATTGACAGTGGAGCTCAGTAAGTCCAATTGTCGAGTGAAATCATGCAAAATGGTAGAGTGGGTGGCACAATACAGATGATTGATATCTGTTTTGCGAGAAGTAACGTATCCGCTACTGGAGCTCATACGATACAGAAACCGGTAAGTATTGCGTAAGTCGGAGGTAGATAGTAAAGGAAATGCATGTATGGTGTCAAATAAGTCGATATCTGAACCCATAGAGTCAAGTTACCGCAATAATAACCTGCAAGAAGCAGGAGTGAAAGAAGAGAAGTGTATGTATGGCGCTGTTACTGTATGCACAATGGCTCGTTACACGTTGAACGCTTTGATAATATCGAGTCGAGGTAAAATGAAGCCCGTAAATCGGAACATGAAAAGTCAAAAAAAGAAAATGCATCGAGAGCAGTGCAGAACCGCACTAAAACGAAGCCATCTGAACAAGTTACTGTCTGTGATTTGCCGTAAGGATCCAGAATGCAATCGAGGAATCAAAAGGTTGATGAATGAAGAGAGCAAACCAGCTAAAGACCAGTTGATGACTGAAAATTGAACCTTAAATCTATTGCGAGTTTTGTTGACTGGAACAATCCTCCGGGTCTGGGTATGTGCCATCGCTATGCTGAGTGGTAAGACTGGGTAAATGTGGACTTTGCGAGACAAGGCCAACATTATGACCAAGCTGAGGGGCGGTGTAAGGACTGGTTGGAACAGTATGGTTATGGTTATAGCTAGGGGGTTGACCTCTGAAAGATGTGGAATAGCCAGTTTGGGGCGGACCAGAGAATCCAAGACCATCATTGAACATGGTGCCGGCTTGAGGATTAGAACCAAAAGTGTTGAAGTTGTAACCCGGGTCGGGATTATACGATTGTTGATTTCCCAGATGTCTTTGTTGAAACGAGCCGTCATTATAGCCCCTACTGGTGGAAGCAGCTAAGTGAGGTGAATGACTGGCATGCTGAGATGGATGGCTGGCATGCTGAGAACGGTTATGGCTGTAGGAATAATATTTTGGGGTAGATTGATCATATGTACTTGAACCTTGATAGTAACCGTGATCGACATGTTGATATTCAACGGGCTGACGTAATTGAGGCTTGAAATTGGTGTTCTCTGCAATCATTTGCGGGGTACCATGAGACTCGATAGAGACAGGAGCAGGATATCCAGCGTGAAAACGCACAGCATTCATAGCAGAACCAAGTGCCATGCGATCTTCTTGTGACTTAGGCTTGAAGGTTCTGTTTCTATGCGGCATCAATTTACCGTCGACGTAATCTCCCCGCAACTTAGCAAGCGGCATCAATGACTTGATGATGATAGAAAAGTGGTCCACACGATTGTCGTTTTTATCCTTAAGAAGATGTCCGAGGCCCTTGTAATCAGGCCATTGTGGGTGTGACCACACAGTCTCCATATAGTCGACATTGTATGCTCTCGCATACCATCTTAGATCCTCGAGGCTATAAGCCATGACCTTTGCATTCTTGGGGTCAAGACCAAGAAGTCGACAAATCGTCTTCTTATAATCATCTTCAGCTTCGGCTTCCACTACTTCCTGTGATTTGACAGGTGTTTTAGTATTGACGAGACGTGAGCGAGTATTGGTCGGTTGCCCCTTGGTCTTTTTGGTTTGTGGAGTCTTGCTCATGACAGAGTTGGTGGTATTGGATCGTGTAGGAGTCTTGAGAGTCGCTCGACGACCTCGAAGAGTTGGTTTGGCATTGGATCTGACTGCTGAGTCGATGTAATCTTCTTCCTCGGACTCATCTTCGTCCTCCGACTCTGACATATTCTTGCGCTTGGTTGAGTTGGTGACAGCTGATCGAGTAGGCTGAATGCGAGCTGGGGCTATTGGTGTCTTTGGACCAGCTGCATTACCGCGAGAAGGTTGATGAGGGCTGAAGCGGGCATATTTGTCGTATGGCTGTGCCTCTTCAGGAAGCAATTTGGCTAAAGCTGTAGCCGCCGCTTCGGGTCCCACGCCTTTGCTCAAGAACTGACGACCAATCTCATTTTGGGCATCGCGCTGAGCGTTGATCTTTTTGTTATTGAGCTTCATCTAAAAAATTTACTTTAGCAGTAACACAAAGATAGAAAAGGATAAAATTGTTTACCTTCAGCTCTCCCTGTGGATGACTAACGAAACGGTCGAGGTATGGAGCGTCCAACAACATTTTGCACAAGGCTTTAGAACGCTACGAAATAGATTAGATTATATTCTTTGGAGCATTGAATGCGTACTTACAGTGCAGGCTCCACAAATAGCTGTCCAACGTTGACCAAACGAAGTATGGATCATTGGTCCCTCAAACTTTGACTCATGAAATGCTTCTAAGAGTTTTACATCCATTTGTACAATTCGAGCCTTGTCCTGTGATTTCTCCATTAGTATTTTGAAATGGGAGGGGCTCAGGAATAAGTAGGAGGTCCACTTACGAAAATTTCCCAACAGACTTCCTCGATGGCATATGCCGGGTAACGATTTTCCTTAAACTTGGTGGCTGCTTGCGATAATCTGCCATGTTTGGTCGGCTTGTCGATAATCGCGTCATCACCCTCTATTTCGACGGAGTTAAAGGCGTCGAACAAGTCTTTAATGTATACTCGCTAATCGGCAGGGTCAGCAGGAGCACCACTCACGCGTCCCTCCTCATAGGCTGCATCCATACGATCATCGATCCGACGGCGCTTTGTCTCTTGCATGTCTTGGAGGTCTGAGTAAATGGCCCGGTACGGACCAGGGGGACCCCGAGGAGCCGACATCGATGGTCGGACGTGCTCCTCAGGGTACCCGCTGGTACCGTACTCGGAACCATTGTCGTCTTGGTCCATCTTCTGTAAATGAATATGAAAG